GGATGAAGATCTGGTAACAATTTCACATGGCACGTTTTATACATATTTCATAGTTTCTTCCTTCTACGCTTCTTCTATTGTTAGAAACAATCTCTTGGTAATTATTATTCTTGCAATGCTACTATTAATCCTTGGTTTACTTATAATTACTAAATTTGTGATGTAATTTTAATTCTATGGTTTTCATCTCTCATAGGAATACAATGATGCCAAGTTCTTTGTACATTGGGTTTGCTGCTTGTATATTATGGGTCAGGGAGGTACATATATTTTCTTTTGAAATCTTTTAATTCCATGAATTCGAAGATGTTTACAGTATTGTAGACTTATAAGAGTAAAATATTTGTTTCTTACTATTTGACTATGTCTTTGTTTATCAAGGGACATACGTAACGTCTTGCTGCAAGCCTGTAAGGATCCAAACAAATGATCACAAGCTATATGAAGGAATTGTAATCAATCACTTCAATGGAGAAGTTTAGGCAATTTTTGCTACTCACAAGGTGCAGTTTAAACTTTCACTGAACAAAGTAGATTATTTATTAAGGTTGTGAACCGATAAACTTATTCCTTTTTGCAGTCATTGAAAATTACCGACAAGGGTTTTTTCGACCAGCAAATTCAGTCGCTAATCCGTCGCTGGTGGTCTTCAGCGGCGGAATTTGCAGTCGTTGATATCCCCGTTTCTAGTAGTGAGTCATAGAGGTTATCTAAACGTATTAAAACCTTACATGCAACAAATTTGTAAGATGACAAATAGGTTTGGGAAGCACAATGCGATAAAAGATGTTCAAGCACAGATGTGCTAATATCATTTCGTAAATGTTATAAAGTATAATGAATTCCCAATCCAGAGGAAATAAATGAAGAAGAACTAAGAACTTGTTTTCTTAGTTACAAGTTATTAAAAGAAACCCAAACCAAAACATTTAATCATCAAGATTGGTAGCAAGTTAAGTTTTTTATGTATTGGAGAATTAGTTCATCGTTTTTCCTAGAAATTAGTTCGCAATTTAACTAAAACCTAGAATGGCAAAAAAGCATAGAAATCATTGGATTACCTTTTTTACTTACAAATTTCTAAATGAAAGCTCATTAGTTTTTTATTTTTTTTGTTTAAATTTAAAAAATAAAAAAAATAAAACAATTTTGATAAATTCATTATTTTCTTATTTTCTCAAAATCCAAAATTCTTAAATTTTTAAACATTTATATTTAATTAAGCCATGTAGGAATAGAATGGCAAAAAAGCATAGAAATCATTTGGTTAGAACAAGATTTTAACAAGAGCTATGGAGGATATTTGTAGAAAAAAGTACTCTATTTGTATATTTTATTACTAGTTTATAAATCGTGGGAACCACGGTTATACAATTAATTAAACTTTTAAAGTAAAAACTAAAAATTATTAATTAATTATTTTAAATAAATTATTAATTAAAGGATTTTTTGGTTATATAAATTTAAATCATTGATTTAAATAAATATGTGAAATTATATCATTTTATAATTTGTATTAAGTTTACTTTAATTTTTATTCTAATCTTATTAATTTAATTTAATTATAGTGGTAAATTTAAAATTTAAAATTTGAAATTGATACTTAATAGCTTTACAAATGACATTTATTAATTAAGAGATATAATATGGTGATATATGAAAAAAGAGAAAAAAAATATGCATTAATTAGGAGCTTAATAAGACGATACATGTCATAATCAAAATAAAATTATTTTTTTTTTTTATTACATAGAAAGATTAGAAGTGGATATGATTCATGACCTCAACAAAATTAACCAAGCAAATATAAATAATGGGAAACGTCAAAGAGGCTCTGGTTGACATTAATTTGGTGTTATATTTACAACCCATATGCATTCAAATACTTCAACCTAGTAGTTATTTAAATGCCGATTATAACTAAGCACGTTCATGAACAAAAATAAATATATATGCATCCACTATAAGGTGAACAAGTCAAGATCTGCTCACTGCTCTCTATGCATCTATCGTTTATCAAACGAACACAAGTTACGCGGTTTAGCACAACACTATAAATCTCTGCGACATCCCTTTTCTTTCAATTCATCTCTCAATCTCATTTTTCATCAATGGCTCCCCGACATATTTCTACAACCATCTTCTTTCTACTCTTTCTCTCAGTTACTAATAATACACCCTGCAATGCACAGTTGTCTTCTAACTTCTATAAAGCTACATGTCCCAATGCACTCAGTACAATAAGGACCACCATCAGGACAGCCATCTCTCGCGAACGTCGCATGGCAGCTTCCCTCCTTCGCCTCCATTTCCATGACTGCTTCGTTCAGGGTTGCGACGCATCATCTTGTTAGAGGATGGGCCTTCGATAGTAGGGGAAAGGAATGCGTTGCCAAATAAGGGTTCTGTAAGAGGCTACGAAGTGATTGACGCTGCCAAGTCGAAGGTTGAGAAACTATGTCCCGGTGTTGTATCT